ATCGTCCACAAGCACCATACTACAAATTATAACTTATGGAAAACCAATTTTACCTTCTCCCCTCCCTCTCCCTCTCTCTATCTTTCTTTATCTATCCTATATTCTGCATTTTTATCACACATAACTTCAACTTTATACTAAAATATATCTTTCTCATAAATAAAGAGATTTGCATTTGTTTACATTATTTACACTTCGATATTATAATACATCTTTTTATTTTAATTTATTATTAGAATACACATTTTAAAAAATCACGAAAAAACACACACAGACAGTTTGTTAAAATTTTATTTTTGATCATAAAAATAATAAAGCTTAATTTCCAAATAATATTTTAAAAGGGTTTAAAAGTGCAATAATCATAAAAAAAGGAATAATATAAGAATGATTTGTCATATAACGACAATTATTAACTACACTTATTTCAATGAAAATGAGGTAGAAATTGTAGATTTATTAGAATCGATTTTTCTCTGCATATTTGAACAAACCTCGGACATAATATAAGCTGGTTCTTGTTAAGCGATAAAATGATCGTCAAACCCAGTAGGTACCCATTACGATCGTATTCTCAATTCGGTTGGAAGCGGAACTAGCTTTCCAGAAGTTTGCTGATTTGCGGAGAAGCCACATATCCATCTATGCTTTGAACAATCGTCCGGTCCTTTCTACATATGCATGTCTATCTGCACATATGTATGTATGCATGTATGTATATATGCATGTGGAAAGTAGAAAGGATTGCTCGAGCAATAAATCGGATTGCGGAAATTCGAGTGACTATGATTCTCTGCTGATATTCTTAACTATTTGATAGAGAATGGGAGAGGAAAGAGAGAGAAGATAACAGAAAATTACATTTTAGTTCACGAACAAATCAAACTGTTTTCACGATAATTTCCCATTGCTTTTATGCATCCTGCATAGTTGAATAAAGTTTCTTGATTATTACGGTTAGAGAAAATTAGTATTAAATGATATATATAAAGTTTTGAAAACAAAACTGATAATACTGAAATGTTGTTTCATTCAAATTTACAAGCAGACAAATGATTGCGAAAAGTATTACAAATGTTTGTTATTTATTTTAAAAAAAGAAAACAAATATAGTAAGGAATAGTTATAGTTTATATTATACTTGACGTTAGAGTAACAATTAGTATGGGTTACGTGCACTTGAATGCATTCACGTGCATTATATTATCTTTTGGCTTATCTCAAAGCTGTTTAAAGTTCTGGACTCGACGATTTTACGCGTCTTCGTTTAGGATGGTAGTTTAGAAAGGGTGTAATCGTCCTTGGCAGTATTTTCTAACGCTATCCTATGAAATTAGCAGATGCTTCCAAGTCCGTACGTTCGTTTGAAACAGATCGGTAAGACGATTAAGAGTCGTTTTTCTTTACAAATGGCATTCACTCTATTACGAAAAGTCGAGGAGCAAAGTAACATAGTTTAAATAGAAAATTCCATGATAAATCTAATGTTCAACAGTTTATAGTACTACTATATTATTACTATTTATACTTACGAGATTACCAGTCGAAGTTATGGGAAAACTTGGCAACATTCTATTAGAACTATGCAAGCGTTAACAGAGTGCATTGTTAGTACTTTACTTGGTAATGCAGAAATCCTAATCAACACTCCAAATGATCCTAGTATTATAAATTTGTATGTAGAAATCATACGAGTTCTAGAAACAATCATACTTCGAAAAGAAATTTATATCATAAATGAAAATGAGCAAAAAATGGGGAGAAATTTTAATAAAAGTTATTGTATTTTGTATTAATCATTGCTAATAAATCAAGTAATATTTAAACATCTATTATTCGAAAAGAAATAAATACAAAATTGATCGAAATTAAATAATATCTACTATTGAAATAAATTGTGAAATACCTACTATGAAATTATATTAAGTATTAAATATACTTATAATTTTTATTAATACATTTGTAATTTAATATACTTATATAATATAATAGTATTTAATATTTTATATAAAAACTAGGGGCGCCCCGGCCACGCGTTGCTTTTTTGACGTGAAAACTTCTTTAGAATCAGATTGATACCTTCATTTAATATAATTTTAAACTGTTGAATGAAGTCTAAGTATTATTCACTTAAACTTATTTTAATAAAAGTTGAAAAATTGGAAACAAAAACTTAATTTATCGTAATGCCATTGGATGTATAATATTTTCGGTTGATCCTTCAGGAGTATACACAAACAAATTCGATGGTTTTCCAACCCTGGAACACGCAACATATAATTGACCGTGAGAAAAGCACGGATTTTCTAAATCTTGACAACAGTGTCAATTGAGTAACTTCTTCAAACACTAATTAGATCTTAATGTAATATTTTAATTAGCACACGATTTACAAACTGGAATCGAATRATTTCGATTATCRACTTGAATATTCTCTATAACTCGAATATCGACTAACTTCAACCTATAAACTTTTCGCATAACAATTTATAAATAAAAAATTAATTAAATAAACAACTTAAAATGGACCAAATTGTAACGCAAAACCATTATCGAATCCACCTTAAGACACACAAAAAATTTCATTAAAATCGGTCCAGCCGTTTAGGAGGAGATCAATTACATAAACGCGCACAGAAGAAATATATATATAAAGATTAATTTTTTTTAACAAAAAAAAATGTAAGGAACATAGATTAGGCAAAATTAGACAAAAATCTAAATCTATACAAATAATTCCAAAATATCGATGTTATTGGATCAAAATTTGGCCCCAATCCTAGTTATTAACACTAAATTTATAATTTAACTCATTTCAATTTTTTTTTGCTACACATATATAAAACAAATATTATTATTTAAAAATATATGTTGATTTTTAATGCCGTAATAAAATATACGTAAATATTAGTTCCTTAACCCACCTTTTCATTAACAAGCAATGTTTGTAAGTTTTCAAAAAATAGTGATCAAAACATACGTAGATCTAATGTTAACGATTAAGATCATTTAATAATAAAACAAAATAATGATTATTAATAAGATTTCATTGTAATAACGAATAAAAAAATAATATGAAGCGTTAAATTGGTGTATATTACTTTTTTGGATAAGTTTTAACGATAATACATTGCAAGTACGAGACCGGATGACCGAATAAAACGATTCAACTTGTGTCAAAAGGGTATATATATATAGGATTCACATATAATATCATATATAATATCGTTTCGGCGCTTTGTCGTCTCACGTATTGACCGAAAGCCGTCGGTCGTACTACTCCCTGGCGTCGAAGGGATAGAGCGTCGAAGGGATCCCGTAGAAGGGATCGCGTGAAAACGCATTGAAAGCGTCGAGGGACTCAAGCCCGATGATCGTGCCTATTACCAGGGAACGATCGATTCTGTCAGCGTGAAAGCTCCATTATGATTTATACCTTTACGGTGATATTCACGCGCTGGTACGGTGAGGGGGGGTGATCTTTAAGGATATTAATCGATCGAATTAATAAATTGAAAAAAAAAATAAAAAATCTCTCTTAACATTATCTACATTTAATTTTTAACAATTTACAATTGCTATTTTCTAATCATATCTTCCTATTATTCACATGTATTCGCATAATATTTGCAATATTTTATATTATATTTAACCTAATTATAATTTACAAATACAATTATTAATTAAATATCAAATTGATGTAACTAATTGTAATGAAATGTTTATTATTTAGTTGAAATTAACTGAAACGTTGATATATTTATTAACCTTTTGCAGTAGATAGGTTACAATCGGTCACATCATATTCGATTTAACGTCATAATTCAAACAATAACGTTGTTTATATAAGTTTTATTTGAACAATAACGTTTTGTAAATAACTTTAAACATTCATACGTGCAAAAAAATAATTGTCAACTATCTATTATTTCCTATACATAACTGTAAGTAATTCAACAAATGTATGGACAATCGTCTCGTATTGGTAGTTCGTCCGAACGAAAAAGGTCTCGAATACAAAGGATTAATAATACATGAATTATTCAATATAAATGAACATTTTTCAACGATGAAAAAAAGTATAGATTGACAAACAAGAAGAAGATAGCCGTCATAATAAAAAAATTGATCATTTTCCGAACAATTTTAGAAAATGGAGTCACCTTTCACATATCTTGCCCTTTCTATTCCATCCTCGTAAGACCTTTAACACCTTACGTCAACGAACATAGATTCACACATACACATAAAAGTAACATACATATATACAAGAATAGATGCAGTATATAGATACATTCATCTAGACGATCCCAGTTCAACTAACTTCTCTTTGATCTAACCTAATCTTGTTTATACTAACAATATCAAAAGTATTCATTACGAATACTAATTTTAATACAACTCTCTCTTAATAAACACAAAAGTATGAAAAATTATATATATAATAGAATTTTTAAAGAAGAAATAATAAATCGATTTGATCCAAAATAATCGTAGATCTTTTAGTTCTTTATCGATCACGTGCTACTTGTACAACCAGTTACGGTTTTCAAAAACATTTACAGAAACTTCATAGAAACAGAAAGAGAGAGAAACACACACAAAGATTATTGAAACAAAGATAGAAATAGGGATAGATAGATAGATAGATAGATAGATAGATAGATAGATAGATAGATAGATAGATAGAGAAACATTGGTGTTAGTAGACATTTCGAAAACACATACATGCACAGATACATACACACACACACGAATATACATTTGGTAAGAGAGAAGGTACGCGCGAGCAGAAGCGTGTAAACCGTCCTCCTTCTCGCACATCGTCTCGTCCCCTTAGCTTTCCACTCTTTTCCTAACCACCCTCAATCCTTCCCCTTACCCTTTCTTTGTGCAGCATCGTAGTAGGTACGTGGTGTGGACGGTGGCGGAAAGCTGTGCGCGCCAGAGCACCGTGACAGGGGGTGGATCGGAAACGCGCATGCTCCCATAGCCAAGAATCTCCCCAGTCAGGGTAAATCTGCCAACGAACGTAGACGTGCCTGTGTGCCGGGTTGATGGTGTCCCATATGTGCATGAACGATGTGATTATTTCACGTTTTCAATCAGCCGGCAACTAAATTACATTTTATTAAAGGACAAACCCATCAAAATTTCACCATAATCGTAATAGATCGTTCGTATATGATTATAAGAAGAAATTAAAGGGTAGGGGGATGATTTTTTTTCTTTATATGGGTCCAATCGATTAATGTGATTAAACGAGATCAGAGGATCAATATATACGGTCCCATATTTAATTGGGACCGTAAACGAACACCCCCTACCCCCTGGACAATAACCAATACTTATTATACTCTTTACGCTAACTGGAATTTATTTATTGGTGCGGTTTTCTCGTTAGTTGTTTTTTTTTCACTTTTCTTGTTAGTGAGCTTTCGTTGGTTTATTCGGTATCGTTATACCGATGGGATTGTTATTATTTGTTATATCGGATTGTGTAATTTGATCGTCATTGTGATTTTTATATTTGAACTCTAGGTCTGTTTAAATGTATAGATACTATGTACGTATGAAAAATAGATAAAAAATGTTGCGTTTATATGTTCTTATGTGACACTGTGCGAATTCATTGTGTTATCTGGAAAACACTTTTTAGACATTGTGTTATAATCGGTGACCACTCTTGGAGGATAAGATTTTCTTTTCTTAAATTGGATTCAGTGAATCAAGATTAGATACCATTTGGGAATGAAGATCAAAGAAAGAAAAAGAATTCGTATATTGGTGGTACAGTTGAAATGATCTTTATTGATTACCAAATACTTTGAAATGGTGGTTAAAACGTTCAGAAAATAAATACGAAGAAAAAGATAAATGATAAGTGATCGTAAAGTGATGATAGGACAAGTTTAAAGAATAGAAATAAAGAAGTGACTTTTTTAGTGGATAGAAAAAACAAAACGCACATTTGGAAAAATATTTTGAAAAAAGAAAAGGAAAAAAAGTGATATCTTCGATATTTTTGAACTATCGACTAAAACTTTTCTCATAACGATCTTTGAAAACGTTTATCGAAAGGAAATATATATATACACAATATTAGAACGATCTTCTTTAGGAAGTTATAACTCGTGTAGGGAAAGGGCTGATTTGTGTGCTTATTTGTTCGCGTATATTCGTTAAGGCCCACATATACATAAACACACACATATATATATATATACACTCATATACACACATATACATAAAAACGCATACGTAGTCACTTTGGGTGTGGAATTCACGGTGTCGCAAAAGTTTCGAAGATCGAGTGGTTTATTTCACTTTGGCAAAGTGAAACGACAGTTCGAAAGCTCTTCAGATACTTCGATCGATCTTTTTTTTTTTATCGATCAATCGATCAAATTTCTTCCTCTTCCTCTTCCTCTCTCTCTCATTTTTTTCATGTTGTATTTTTTTTTCTCCCCTTCTCCCGTGACGTGTATCACAAGTTGGACAAACCCTTACACACACACTCACACACATACACACATACACAGACACGAAAACGCGAAGAGATAAAGTTACAAAGAAATAAACTTTAAATGATGGAAGAACTAATGATAATAATGTGAATCGTTTGAAAAAAAAAAAAACAAGTGGACAACGTTTTAACACATAACTTCTTGGAAATGGCTTTAAGATGGCAAGCCAGACTCTCCATCGCTGCCATACTGTTCATGTGCACCGAAGGTAAATTTTTTTATTTATCATTTTTTTAACATTTGTTTTTATTTTTGTTTTTCATCGATACAAAAGTCATTTGATTATTTTAAATAATCCTTCGAAAATGCACACGAAAAGAAAATTTGTAATTTAAAAAAAATTACATTCTCAGGAAGTGGTTAAATTTTTTAAATATATTTTTTTTTCGATGTATATAATGTTTAAAAATATAAACGTCGAAAAATAATACGACATCGGATATAATATGATTTTAGTTATGAAACAGGAATCCAAGTTATGCATAAGCCAAACTTTTACTGCACGGCAAAAATTTCAATTTTGTCGCGTAGAAATTTAAATTGCTATGCATTAATTTTTTTCCAAATCAAATTTTTTTTTTTTTAATTTCAAATCTGTAAAACATGTCATCGAGAGAAATGCTAGATCGGAATTATAGGAATTTGAATTCGTGATAAAAAAAAAAGAAAACAGAAATATTTTAATTATAAAGCCCAATGTTTTATTAAACCTGTTTTTTTATTTATTTTTTTTTTATTCGGCTTCAACTCGCAATGCACAAAAAACGTTTTCTATCGTAATTAAAAATATTACCCAAAATGGTTTCATTGAATTTCGATATTTTAGAAACTTCGTCTTCATTCTGATCGTTAAAATTATGCACAAAATAAACGAGTCCAAATAAATTCCGTAAATTATCGTTTGAATCGAACGAATTTTCCTTTCCAATGAAATATTTACTTTTAGAATACGGTATAATATATCGGAGTCATACTGTTTCGAATCAGATCGAACGAGATCAGCGAAATTACATTGAATATCTCAACTAGAATACGATCAATGATGTGAAATCATTTTAACACGGACCAATAAAAGAAATGAAAAAAATTCAATCAAAAGAATTTTGAGATAAAATAAAATTATTAATAATATGTTCTCAAACGTGTAATAAATTACATTGTAATTAAAAACACCGTTGGATTATTCTAATGTGTAGAAAATCATTAAACTAATTATTACATCCGAGTATGTACATTTAAAAGAATATTTTAACGTAAAATTAACGAGAGTCAGTTTTCATAATCGTTCGAATTTTGTAAAATTGTATAATATCTTAATTATCATATAGAGTTCACACACATATGCAATGAGCCACAGAAATATTCCTACCTCTATTATCAATTTCAAACAATCAATATTTACTCTTTCAATAAAATATTTCAATTTATTTTATATAGTATAAATATTTCTTAAGATAATTAAAATTTTCGTTGATATAAATAATATTAATAATTAAAATAAATTATCTTTTTGCAAAAGAACATTTTATTATAAGACAAATAAAATTGTATAAAACTGATGACCAATCGTTTCAAAAGAATTATAAGATCAATCAAGTATTTTTTAGAAAAATAATCAGTCTATTATTATAACATTTTACGTAGATGCAAATATTCCTGTAAGATCAATTTTTGATGTGATTGAAAATTTAATAATCCTAAAAAGAATTTTATATTGGTAATGATTATTATATATGTCATAAACTTAATTTTAAAGCTTTGCATTACAAGGAAATATCAATTATTTCAAACTTATAACGAGAACAAATACGAATACTCTTTCGACTATTCACCATACATACATAGATACATACATACAATGATTAAATTACATAGATATTTATTAATATAAGTTCGATTGGAAGTAGATAAATATTAAAATCTCTTTCGGAATATAACAAGCAGTTAAGAAACTTTATGTCAAAGGTCGTTGGTCTTAATTAAATGGGCTTGTTGGGTAAAGGGTTGATTGGTTAGTTGGTTGTTTCGTTCGTGAACTTAAAGACGTCGAAGTTGCATCTTAAGATACTTAGAGAAATCGAAGTTGATACCTAGCGTAAGGGAAACTAACCGATCGGTTAAAGTCGGTGTGTAGATAATTCTACGTTGTTGGTCCATCCAAGTGAATAATTCAATATTCTCCGAAACAACACGCGAACGTTGTTATATATAAACGGAAAGTTATTCGATCGAAGCCACGGTATTGGGCGATAAAACGGCATAGTTAATGGAATTACAAACGTTGGTTGTATGTGCGCTCGTTCGCGATCCTAGTTCAATGCACATATAGATACGCGTACAACGATGCAACTTCGACTCATGCATTATTCATAAGTTTCCTCGATCAAGCGTTATACGCGTGGAAAATGAATAAAAAAAAAAAAGAAAAAAAAGCAAAAAAAAATAAATAAATAAAAACGCCAACGACGACAAGGACAAAAAATAAATTGAAAGAAAATAAAAGTGGCGGGCTAGGGGGAGGGGGCTTGAATGTTAGAGTAAAAGTACGTAGAAAGGAAAGAAAGTTGAAATAAATTAGCGCGTGAAAAGAAAGAAAAAAAAGGATGAAACAAAAATGAAATAAAAAACAGGGGAAAGAGTTCTTCAACCGGATTCTCCTTCTCTCCCTTCCCCTTCTTTCCCCTACCACCACCCATCCATTGCATTTTATTTTCTCGTTCGTTCTGAAATCGTATTAAATTCTTTCGGGAAAAAACACAAAAGAAAAGGAAAAAAAAAGTCACGTTTAGAAAACGTTGTAACGATTTCGGTAGCAATTCTAACAAGTTGAAATTAAAATCGATAGTAACCGGAAAAAGGGTAACAGGAGTTAAAATCCGGGGGCTTGGAGGGTTAGGGTATGGGTGTCGAGTTAGTTATAGAAGTAACATACCTATAAGGGGTTAACGTTTCGTGTAATAGGCAGAGCTTTACACCCCATTTCTACTTTTGTCGCGAACGAAACTAACAACTTTTGCAATTTCGTTCGACGGGGCGCGAATTGTTCGACTCTACTACTATGGCCATGTTCGCGGGGAGGGGGAGGGGGGACTACGAAACTTCGGAACGGACAAATTAAACGGTAGTGCAACCGCATCGAGAGGGGGTGGTAACAACCCCGCGGTAACGTTCGTGGCAAGCCGCGAGACGGTGTCGTGCTTCTCACGTCGAATATCGCACGAATGAGAATAACTTAGATGGAATGGGGAAAAGAGTTGGACGTTATCCACAGGTCAAAGGTTAAAAAAGAAAAAGAAAAAATGAAACGTTTAAATTGGGTCAGAAATTAGAAAAAAATATATAGATTTTAGATTGATGAGATTTTTTTTGTTTTCTTATAATTCGGTCAAAATTAGCGTACTTTTTTTTTTAATTTCAATAATTATTAATCCATACATGTATTTTCGTGTAAGTTTCATTAATAATTTTGTTCTATTTATTATTTATTAATGTGGGATTTTATTTTTTATTTTTATTTTTAATTTCATTTTTTTTTTGCTTATTCTAAATTTTAAATATTATTTGTTTCAATGAATTCGTTAAATTTTATTCAGATAATTTTATTGTATTTATATTTGTAAATGGGTTACATCGAGGTTGCATAATTTTGAGAGAATACACTGGTATAGATAAAATTTTTGTATTCCTTCGATGATACTTCTATTTATTGGGTCAATATATATTTTCAGTCGATATTTTGTAAAACGTATTACAAATATATTCAAGTTTCTCGTGCACAGTATTATAAATAATAATTTGTTAATATTTGATATAGAGTGTTTGAGTATTTATGTTAGGGGTAGCGTTGCATCGGAGTTACATTTTGATTTAGGGTATACATGAGATATTTTACTGTGTATAAATATCGATCGCGCAAATATTGGAAAAAATAAAATGGAACAAAATTGTACAACCTTAATACAAATGTTTAACAAATTTGAACTAATTTCGTAGGTTTAAGCAAAAATTGTCTACATTTATTCAGCCCAATTATCTAAAACTATAAACTGAACATATAGCGTTTCCAAAATCCGATAATACCGATAAGATAAAGTCTACATAACAACTTTTGATACACTTATATGTATATAATTACTTCTATCATTTCCATTGATCAATCATTCCTTTACGTGACCGTAGCAAAGTTTCCATTAGAATTTATTTCAACGAAACTAACAACACGATTTTGAAAAATATCACTAGTTCAAGAATTCCATCAAAAATAAACAAATTATAATGAAAATAAATTTGCATAGTTATCATTATTAATTAATATCATTTATGTTATTTTCCATTAAGGTTGTTAAGGAACTTAGATAAAGAATTAAATGATGATTATTAGAGTCTTCAAATAAATAGATCCCCTAAGTTAGATTATTTTCAATTATATTACGTGGCTAACAATAAGAAAATCACTAGTCTCTCACGTAGAGATATAAGAAAAAATTTCAAACGATCTATATATATGTATACATCTATTATATATATAAAACGGAAAAGCGCTAACGTCGTCGTTGTACGAAAGTTTAAGTAGGTTAAACTGAGAAACGATCGATCCGTTCTATCGTTGTCCGTTATCGGTCTTTCTATATTCCTAAGGCGTTCTGAAACGCAGCCAAAATGTCATCCACGTTTCGATATACTATCGATATGCTCTCTGTTCCTAAATTTTCTCACTTTATATGTTCCTCGTGCATTGACAAAATAAAACAAAGATAAATAAAACATGAACGGAGAAAATAATATTTATCAAATATCTGTCACATAAATTAATATTCCTGTCTAAAAGATGAGCATATACTTAATTCAAAATATTATAATATAAAGTAAAAAATAAATTATATCTCGTACTGTAACAATCCAAAAAATGAAATAAATAATAATATTTTACATATATTTTTCCCTTTTGAAAATAAAGTATAATTATTCGAATAAGGATATTGTTGATTATTTTCTAATACTATACTTTGATATTACCTTGTTAATTATTTTTTGCAATTTATTATTATTTTATAATAGATATTACTATATATTACAAATTAGTACGGTATAGTAAAATATCATTGAATATTACTGACACAAATTTGTTTTAAATTATATATAATATATAAATTGTTATATTACTTTAAATGACTATAACAAAAAACTGATATTCTGTATGGATTGTTC